CCTGGCGAGTCATGAATGCAGCAGTTAATTGCCCAAAACATTGTCCTTATTCTCAGTCTTTCCCTTTCCCTGTCTTGTTTTCTACCTTTCTTTTCTTTATTTTCATTGCAAGCTGTCCATCTGCCACAACTCCCTACTGAAACCTTTCCAGTGGACTGGCTTTAAATATTACCATACATCAAAATCCAAGACCAGGCTCAAAACCCCAGAGGTTGGTCTTAAAGAAGGAGCACCACGGACAAAATAATTCACACGTGAAAACACTTTTGTCTTCTTCTAACCCAAACTAGAGACATCATTGTATTATTAATTTGGTGGGTTTATACCCATTTTACAGAAGGGTAAAGTGATGTAGAGAAAGAATATGAAGACTCAACAGCTATTTCAAAATGGATTTAAACATGTGTTTGCTTAGTTCATTAATGCAGGTTCAAACTCCCTGTCAGGCCACCATCTGCCAGAAAAATGCAATGTTCTCATCTGGATGCAGACAGTTCCTCAGTAGCCAAACAGCCATCAATAGGTGCCTATTCCATTCACCATTACAGGTATCGCACCACATTCTTTAAAAAGTATTTTTTCTGTGTTCACCAAGATAGTTCACTCAGCGCTTGTAGTAGGTTCAAAACTGAAAACAAAGGTCCAAAAGTTATAAAAAGAGACTAGCAATTCACAGCACAAACCGTTTTAATTCTGCTCCCCTTACAGTCACTTCTCAGGAAAAAATAATTAAATAACAATCTTCAATCTGTTTGTTGTTTCAGTTCATTTTAGGGTGACATAAACAGCTTTCAGTTCTTACATTCTGCACAAGCCTCCAGAAATATTCAGTGTTTACTAGAGTTCGGTGGTGTTAAATCAAGTATGACTATCACCCTTTAAGGCCTAAATGATAGAGTGATATCCATACCAATAACACATTTTGACAGTGTTGACACCTGCCTACATAGAAGCAGTTTACTGACTCTTATAGACCTGTAGAAAAAGACACTAATACTTATTAGCAATCCTAGTAATAACCTTTTATTTTCAAAAGTTGGTGTTTCCCTTCATGCCTCTTGAAGAATTCTGTGGCATATTCTACAGTGGATCTCATAAAAGACAAGTAGCTGGATGGAGAATTTCATTAAACTACTCTCATCATTTTCACTGTGTAACTGAAAATGGATAGGAAATTATACCAGCTAACTGAAACTAGAACAATCTTGAAATAAACTCAGCAACTGGTGAGAGCCAAGAAAAGCTTAATAGTTTTTTTTGAGCACCTGAAAACTTTCACAGAATTCAAACATAACCAAAACTTTGTGAAAGCTGATCCTTTTTTGTCCCCTAATGGATTTTAAGAGCAGACTCGTTGAATGATGTAGCACCTGCTGTTGTCAATCTTTTTGTTCTTGTGTCAGTTGAAGAAAAAAAAAAGGAAAAAAAGAAAAAAAGAAAAGAACATTGCACTGCGGAGTAGAAAAATATGGTGTGCCCCAGGTGAAAAACAAACTGTTTCCATTTATTTGATTAGCTCTTGCTTCTTTGTTTAGTACTCAGCTTGACAAGCAAGAACCCTCCACCACCCTCTAATAAAAGCCAAATGCCATAGATTTGAGGAAATGTGAGAGTTGACCAAATCTTAGCACTTCACCTCACACAGGAGGGTTTCAGGTTTTCGTGCTCCCTTCCAAACAGGTCTTCAATGGTGTGTTTTCACGGGAAGCAACAAGCTGCAGAGTTTGCCCGATGAGGGGAGCCCGGAATAGCGGAGATGGACGGGAGCTGAATCTTCAGCACCACAGTCCCAGGGCGCTGACGAAGTTGTCCCTTCAGCACCACGGACTGCGGACATTGCTGGAGTTGTCCCTTCAGCACCACGGTCTGAGGACACTGATCTACCCCTTCAGTGGAGTTGTCCCTTCAGTACCACGGACTGGGAGCACTGGTGGAGCTCTCCCTTTAGCACCACGGTCTGGGGACACTGCCAGAGTTGTCCCTTCGCTACCACCTCCGGGGACACTGTTGGACCTGTTCCTTCAACACCAGCGCCCGAGGACACTGATAGAGTTGTCCCATCACTCCCCACACCCCGAGGGCGAAGAGGGACCTTCCCTTCAGCACCACGGTCCGGGGACACTGCTGGACCCGTCCCTTGAGCAGCAGTGCCCGCCCCGCCCCTCCCGCGGCCGCCCCGCAGCGCTGCTGCCCCGGCACCTGCCGAGAAGCACCGGCCTCTTCCCGGCTACCGAGGGCAGTGGGCTGATGGGCCACGGCCAGCCATAAACGCCTTTGATTAAATTAAAGCTACAGTAGTTGAAATCAGCACAGCAAAGAGGTAATTGCTTCAGACATGTTGCTAGCACGGCAGTATCACGGAGTACAATTAAGGTAGACATAAATTAGTCTGCGACCACATTCATACTGCTCGACTTTGTGGTCCTCTGATTCTCATCACTGTTTTCTCAGAAGGGAAGTTTTGTGGAGATAGAGGTGCTCATCCAGATTAGGGAAGGCAAGGTCTTTGTTCATTCAGTTTTAAAAATCAGCTCGTTAGTTAGACACACTCTTGCTGGAGTACCTACTGACTACAGCATGTTCCCCAATGCATACCCCACTGCATGTGCTCCTGGAAGTCTGTCTAGAAGGTTTTAGAGGGAGAACATACACACAGATTTTAAAAAAAGAATCTTCACTAGCGATTATTACAGACATTTAAAATCACTCTCCAGTGCAAGAAACACAGATAAGAACTCTTATTTTCCTGAGAACTTAAACAAATAAAGTAATTTTTTCCCCTCTGTGAGCCAAATTATTTTAGGATAATAAGAAATCAAAGAAAAATTCTCCATGCTCACTTTTAAAGACTACCAGTAGATCAGATATCATCAGGAAGCCACTTTAGTACAGAAGAGATGGTACAAAAAATAGCAGTGCATTTGGCAAGATGCAGATAGCAACTATTAATAAACTTTTAAAAGACGGATCAGATATCCTACAGGAGAAGAGCTTCCCAAATGAACAATTGTTACAGAATGTCTGTCTTTCTACACCGTTTTTTATTGTTACTCTTCCTCCCAGTGGTTCCCTGTTGCTATACACACTTTTAAATTTAAACCATTCTGACATCCCAAAGTGCCTCTGCCTACAGAAATGCACACTATTCTCTGCATGCTGAGGTGCTCCGAGCTTCCTAAACAAATCCCAGCTCTTTGCAGGAGAAAATGCTAAAGCTTCCCAAGCAAGTTGTACTTGTTTCCAGGTAAAACACGATCAAAACATCAAACTACTGTACAAACAGCCCTTTCCACCTGTCACCAACTGAGCTTACAAACGGAGCAAGTGTTGCAGTCAGTCTTAGGCAGCAGTACAGGGCACCATGAGTACACAGGCGTGTGCATGTAAGCCTTGCTGTAATCCAGAGGGGTATGACAGTCCAGTATTCACTTAGCAGAAATAAGTGACAAGAGACAGGTCAAGGATGAGAGACCCAGCGGCCAAAGGAGGAAAGAGAGTTCTGACATTGTAATGAACAGCGGGAAATACAAATCATCAGCCAAAGTTCCATTCTACTTTATATTCTATAACCTATTAATATTTGCTTTTTATATTAATATGTCTAATAGCAGAAAAAAAGAGGAAATTATTCCTTAAAAAATCTTATCTTTGTAAGGGCAAATAGGCTTTATACTGTCAGATGATTTTTCAAAGGAAATTTTTTTACTGCTCCAGGTATAATACAGTCAAATACAAAAGTAAGTAGGTACTTGTCAAAGGGCAGTGGACATCATGTTCTGCAGAAAACTCAGTATCTTCAGGTGGCAGTGTAAAAATTTCTTGTAACAAACCCTAAATAGTAAAAAGACCAAGTCGTTCTGTATTAATAAGAGCTACTTTCCTGTCCTGTTCTGTAAAATGCACTATTAAACAGCCACTGAGCTAGAAGGGTCTTTTCAAATTTCCCCAGTTGTTAGGGGGCTAGAAGTTCTGGGAGAAGAACATTACAAACAGTTTCAGTAAACCCACCTTAAAGAATACAAAACCAGGGAAGAAAACCTGCTCATCCAGCCAAAGCTGGAGTTGTAACACAGTTCTGTGTGCACTCTGCAGCCTCTAGTCTTCATGGTGTTTATTTTCATGGCAGAGAAGCAAACTTTGTGTGAAATGCTCAGCTTTAGCTGCAGGAAGCAGGGAAGTACAAAATGACAGCCCATGGCTGTGTCCACTGACTGTCCCTTGACCGTCCTGGGAAATGGTACATCTGGGAATCTGGGCATCACTGATGTGACAGCAGGCAACATTTTGCCTTTCACACCATCTGCCCACAAAGGGTAGATGCAGACTATGACCTGTTGACACATCAGACACTCCAGTTGCAATAAAAACTTCAGGAACACATTGGGAATGCCCAGGAAAGGCCCAGCAATGGGACCACAGCTGTGGGAACCACCACCGCAGCCCTTGCCAACACCAAAATGAAGTTTGCTAAAGCAGGGCTACGGTTGGCTACATCAAGGGCTCTCCCAGCTGATCTAGTTCCCATGTCCTCTTCATTTTCATTCTCATCCAGCTGCCTTTTGCCCAAGTTTTCCTCATGTCTCTTAAGCAAAGGTGTAAGAAGGAGTGTGGTAACAGGGCCTTCTTCCTGAGGGGAACCCCAGCAGAGTGTCACCCTGCCTCTTCCCCCACTCTTCCTCGCCACCCAAACCAGAGCTCCATGGTAGCCACCTGGCCACTGCCAATTCCCCTTGCCAGAGCAGCCCCACTCCTCCTCAGTGCCACCCAGGAGATGAAGGATCCATCTCCAGGGGAAGAGGTGCGGGACACCGCCAAGTCCAACAAGTGCCCAAGAAGAGCAATGAATTACACAATAGAGGAGGGAAGCAAGAAATTCATCCAGCACCGGCACCTTTGCATGTAACAGCCTCCTTGCCCCTCTCCCTTTCTCCCAACCCGGGGAGCATTTGCCCCAGCCCCGGCCGTGGCCCCATAGGGCCTCCCCGAGGGGAGACACTCACCGATGGTCGTGATGACCGTGATGGCAAAGTAGAAGGAGCCGGCGAATTTCCACTGGACTCCGGCTCGGTGCGGCTCGGACTGCATGATCACCAACTCCAGCTGCCGGTAGTCCTCGCTGGTGATGTTGTACTTTCCTTTGAGCCGGATCTCCTCGGCTTTGAGTTTCTCCTCCTCTCGCATCTCGTTGTCGGACTCCAGGGCATCAAAGACGGCAGCCCCGACCAGCAGGTAGGTGAACGTGCAGATGATAAGGGACAGGGTCCGCACGTTCTGCCTCTTCATGGCCGCCAGCAAGGGGCGAGTGAGGGGACCATGTCCCCCCCTGGCCGCCCGGGGATCCGACAGGCCGCAGCAGCCACAGCAGGGGAGCAGCCGCCGGGGGGGCTGGCGGCGCCCGCCGCCGCCGCCGCTGCCGCTGCTCCGGGGCAGCTTGTGCTGCGGCGGCGGCCGCTCTCCGCCCGCCTGCTCGGACTCCTGCGAGGAAGAGAGGCACAGGAGGCTGCTGGAGCGCCGGGACCAGGTGCCCTGAAGCCGGGAAACTCTGCGCAGGACCTGCCCAAACCAAGCCGTCCCAGTGCGCAGGGCCATCCAGGGCACCCCCGCTCCTCCCCAGCACCGAGGCCAGGGGCAGGGGGTCCCCGCCGAGGGGCCGGCGGCCCCGGCACGGAGTCCTGCGGCGGGCGGGTCCCCCCGCGAAGTTGTCGCGGCGGCGCGGGGAAGGGTCGCCCGCAGCCCGGGCGGGGTGCGGCGGGGAGGCGGAGGCCGCCGCCGTCCCAAGTTTCTTCAGGCGGAGCGGCGGGGCCGGGGGGGGCCGGGCGGCGGCAGCGCGCCCATCCGCGGAGGAGGAGCGGGGCGAGGGGCGGCGGGCGGCGGGCTCCGACCGTCGGGGACCCGACCCGCCCCGGCCCCCGGCTGCCTGCGGGAGCGCCGGGCGGGCGGGTCGGGACGGGCTGGGCGCTCTCTATTCTTTCCGCCGCGCAGCGCGGCGGGAAGCGGGGAGCCGGGCGGCTGCTGCTACTGCTTTTGCTGCTGCTTCTGCTGCTGCTGCTGCAGGTGGCCGCGGCGTGGGCAGCGGAGCGGCGTCCGGCGCGGCGAGGGCGGCGGCGGCGGTGTCAG